GTCTATCATCAATGCTGCGTTCTGATTGGCTGAGCTACTACCAGGCTATATGTTATAGCCCACTAGTAGCGAAAAGCGCGGGCTTTTTGGCGGCAAAAAAGGATTAAAGTCTAGCTTTAACTAACTAAATTTTTTTTATTCTCGATATTTTTGACCAAGTATATGTATTTTACTAAAACAATTATTCCTCTCGCCCTCATGGCCTCTGAGTCAATAGCCCATTCGGGCTGGAGGAATAATTGTTAAATAGCGTACGTACCCAATTACTAAGTACCTATCCAACTAACCTGTACAAAGCAGTTGTATGGTTAGAAGAGTTAAGTGGCATATTCTTTTATACTGAGTTAAAATTGACTAGCCTGGAAATACGACGATGCTGCAGAAATTAACAATTAATGAATGAGGCTGAGTATCTTATGAAGAATTATGGAGATCGAGGAGGACTTTACTATATCTTCTGATGTCTCTTTCTTTTGTTTTTGGAGTGAAGAGATTTATTAACTGCCTGGATTCTGCATAATTATTGCACCATTTTGTCCGAGGTTTGTAGTCGGTAACGTTGTCAGGTTGTTCCTGCCTTCCTCGTCAAAAACTGCATACAGTCTCTCTCTTAACAAAGATATACGGGAAGTCTCAACGGTGATCATACTTTGAACAACAACTAAGCGTGAAAAAAAGGCGCATTTTGTAGCGTCGTCTCCTCTCCCGATTTTTCCCTGAGGGAGGAGGGGACGTCTGTACACAGGCTACGCATTTTGAAGAATGACCGTTAATTTCCTCGACTGTTAGGTCTTTGATAGTTGAGCCAGGAATCCAGATCGAACCTGACATCCGTAACAGGAATAAGAAATCAATCATTTTAGATCGCCCAACACAGACAGTTTCTTATGCTTAATTTTTCAACCGTTAACTAACAGCGTTCGTTTATTCAAGTGGCGCGGCTAGCGCGTGCAGAGGCTTTTCGAGCGGGTCACTTGTAAGACTTGACCGAAACCCGAAACCGCGCATGAAAAGTCTCTGGCACCCAGGGTAACAAAAAAAAATACTTCAGACTATAACGTTTCGTTATTAGTTGTGAAAGCTAGAATAAGTTTGACGAAGTTTTCGCCGTAGGTGTAGCAAGTATCTTCTAGTAATCACCTAACTGGGTAGTGAGCAAAGTTTCGTAAATTACCGAAGAACAGTTAGTAATATTTAACTCTGCGTAAAATCTATCTTTTTTGCACTTCAAAATTGTAACTGAATTCTGCGTTTTTGATTAGGTTTGGTATAAAATTGACAATGTTACTCCACTTTTTGCTTGCTTGAATAATAAACGAGATAATCGCCCTGAAACAGTGTGACGCATAATGCGGCAATAACTGAATACCGAACAAACATAGTGCTTGTGCACTCAATGCCACCTTGAGAATGATAACTGAAGAAAATTATCAGTGAGTATCTTTTCTCCATAACCCGGCACATGGTATGAACTTGAGAAATGGCTTCTTTGCAAACCTTTGACTGTGACTGCGTCACAGATGTGCATCTGCTGTTCGTGTCTTATACCTTATTATTTGAAATTAACGACCAAATCTCATGCTGTGAGTGGTTCTTTTAGGCTTCATGACGTCATCTTTACTTTCGATTCTGGCCAATCATAACCAGACTTCCAAAATTTGATTGGACAGGCTTAAAAATATAATCCAATCCATAGTAATAAATTCTCACTGGGAGCCCCCACTCACAAACGCCCCAAGGTTGGGATGAGTTATAGGAAGGGGCGAGCCCGGAGCGGGAAGGAGGGGAAGGTAAGGCGCCAGAGTGTGCCATAGCTGCGAGGAGGTGGGTCAGAGCGACAAACTAGGTGTCTGGTGTCCGTTTTCACGAAAAGAGGAATAAAACGCATGAAAAACAGGTCAATTTGTACTAAATTCACAAATATATGCACAACAAGTTCCCCGCGGATCCACAGATGCGCCGGAATTTAAATGCACGGGCACAGGGAGCCCTTGTGCGTTACGGCGCACAGTGAGAATAGTGTCAAGATTAGGAGAGCCGAACGGCACAGCCCCACTACGACTTCGGCCCAGAAAAAAAAACCGAGAAGTAAATGGAACGTTATTTTATAAACTGGGCTCGCCACAGGCAGCCAAGTGGATGACAATCTTTAAGTGAGTATTTTATAATTTACTTCACAAGGGATCTTTTGCATGATCCGATCTACATGTTACGTGTCTGGGAAACTGCCCATCTACCCCTTCCCTAAGCCAACGTTTCGCTTTAAGTGAGGAGTAAGTGTTAATGTTGGCTTAGGGGAGGGGTAGGAGGGTAGTTTCCCAGAAACGTGCACCGAATGATCCTTGCACATGTCTCGAGCTTTTAGTTTCTACCCGTCCTTGCACCAACTTTCTCAAACTGAAGTCTAAAGACGTGTTTTGTATCATTATCTCACTAAAAGTTTCCTTGCATGCTGTCATTGCAACTTGTTTTAAGTAGCTTCTGGTTGAAATCGATCATATGCCGTAATGTAATTAAGCGTATTCGATCCGATCCAAGACTGAATGCGTAAAGCTTTGATTTTGATCCTTCAGATATTAAAGGGATTCCATTTAATGGCTCGAGAATCATTAAACTCGGGTGTCCCTAATTTTGATTCTGTACTGAGTTTATCGAAGACGAAATCGGCAAGATTGTCATTTGGTAATAAATTCCTTGTATAGACAGTTCACTCGCACACTAATTTCATTTTTGGAAACCAAGAGAGAAAAATCTTTTGTGAAAACTAGTCACGACTAATGACCTTTTTTCTTACCAATACATCTGGCTCGTGTTTCTCAAAGCTTTCTCTGTCCTCCGCAGAGGCTCCCGCTGGGTATCACAGTAAAAATAGCAATAATCGGAAAATAGGAAGCGCAAGCTTCTTTCTCCCCAGCCTCCCTCCAACACAAAGAGGCCTCTGCGGAGGAGAGAGCAAAGCTCCGCCGGGGTCCCACCTAAAGAAGCTCTGCAGTTTTAGGCGCGGCGGTGGACATGCTTTTTGTCCATTAACATAAAATTTAAATAGAAGACGTAACAAATAGCAAATCTTTGTCAAAACAGTCTTAAAACCACCGATGATATTTTGAGAAACCCTCCACTGGCTTTGGGCGTTGTCAAATTATGGCTCTTGCTTTTGATCAGTTTACTGGAGTATGCCAAGAACAGGCAATGGTCCTCCCGGATATCAAGTGCTGATTTCACCTTTTCTAGTTTGAAATGTCTACAATTTTGTAGCATGGTTTGCACTTTTTCCATGGCGCCGTGACTTGGATACATCTCGAAAATAAAACTAGTTAATTAAAAGTAGGGACTGAACATATTTCAAGTTGATCTTCTTTTTCTTGATTATAACTTTGACTGAGAATGATCCTTCGTTTTTTTCTAATTAAATTAAAAATTTAGAAATGCCTATTGTCAAACAGGTGACAGCTAGGTATGGGCTGGTCTTTTTAGAAATATCATAAACATTTATCTCTTCAAATAACTCCGATCCGCCCAGTTTTGGATTAGAAAGATAAGAAAAAAGACGTCTCTGGAATATTTGGCTGGGTATGTTTATGAGAATTGAAATGCCTGTCCGTGAAAGAGAATTAAAATTCTTAGCGTTAATCTGTCGGGAAAAAGATGAGTTCATCTGGACTCAAGCCGTTTTCTTTAGTGAAGGAGTTAGTTTCATGTACTTTCTTACCAGTCTACGTATGATACAGTCAACCTTCTTATTCCACGATGAGTTGAATGTTCGCGATGGGAGGGTTGAAATAAATTACCATAGATTCGGATATAGATTTTTCACCCCGAAAGGTTGTCATTGGAGAAGTAATTGGAAAAAAATATGTTTAACAGATGAGGCCATCAGAAACACCACGAAAAGATGTGACGGTTAAAAAAACTGTTGCATTGTTCAGAACTTAAAAGAAAAACTAATAACATATCACATGTTTTCTTTGTATCATTTTCAAAGGGGTCTTCAAACACGTTGTTACGATTTGCAGAAAGTCAATGAGGTGAAAAGCTGTTTGGTTTAGCTGATAACAATTTAAAATGTTATCAAACAGTTTTAGAATGCCTTGGTATTGTATCTTACAAAACTGATTATTTCAATGCGCGAGAGATTAATACCCTTCTTTTGCACTCCTTGTGTCACGTCCATATCCATTCAGTGTTTGTATTATTCAACGCGATGGTGTACATCATAATGCCAGTTTGGCAACAAGAAGCTCGTTTATATAATTAACTTGCTAACAAGAATTAACAATAAACGGATGTTGGCACGTCAGTCATAGCGGAAGAGCGTAATCTTTCAGGTACTTGACTCGACTAGAGCGACTACGCCCCATAGCTAAATACAGAGTTACAGGTCAAGTTACTCTTAAAATGTCAATCTGGAGGGGGCTCTCTTTGAATTGTATATAAAAGGGAATGCTCCTCGTTATTTGCTTCAGCCGAAAGAATTGGATATGTTATATATTCAGGTAAAAAATGGGTCATGAATGAAGAATGCACGAACTGGCTGACGTGTCAATGCAAAACACTAAGGGGATGGGGTTAGGGAAGTTGTTTGTGGACAGCTGGTAGTTACCGATTAAGCTAGCCGGACTCACTCCCGCATGCTTCGCACACCGACTCGCGCGTCGAGCCTCCTGGCAGGCTGCTTCTCCCCCTACAACGATGAGGTTGAAAATATGCCGATATATATAAACCGGAAAATATAAAAAGACAATTCATCATCCTAGATAATCAAAATGTCTAGTATAATTTCCGTGCATACTTGAACTGGACACCTTCCAAGCCTGAGTTTATTAGTTCTCACCTAAGACCGGAAATCCCAGTTCATTACTTCGGATATCAAATCGCTCGCTTCAGCTATGGTCGCTTGCCGCCCTTTTGTTATCTAGCTGATCAAAACTGTGTTCTAATTATTTTGTCATCACTTTCGACTGTTATCAATCGAGAATAACGTCTCAGGCTCTTGGACAAAAAACGGCACTCAGCGGCGAGTCAGCAACTTGACATACGGTAATAGCAAATTTCCCGAAGTCTAAGTGGATGGTTGTGAGATCGTAGCAGATCTTACTTTCTGGAATATTGTAGTCTAGAATTTTTCTGACTTCTGGCTTGACGCGGGAAAGTTTACAGCATGAAAATTGCGGAGAGCACAATTTTTATCACGGCAGTTTTAGCTTCTGTTGCTGGTTTTCGTGGAGTTTCAAGGTCACACTCAAGCAGACATCTTCCCCTCTACAGCTACAACAATCCGTACGCCCAAAGGTAAGCTTATTACAGAGTGCGGTTTATTCTTGGTGTGATATAAAAATGACCGTTCTTCCTAAACTTAGTAAGCGTCCCCTTGAAAGTTCTGAGATGTAAATTTTAACTGGCTTAATATTCAACTCAGTAATGCATGTTTTTCAGCTCATCGTAAACTCAGACGCATTGAAAAAAGGATTAAAATTGTTACGTCTTGCTGTTTTGTATAAGTTAACTCGCGAGTTTCCTTTTCCCAAAATAAAGAACAAACTTTCTTGCGGTGACTGAAACGTTTCAGGAGATAATTGCTTTCATATTGACACCAAAGCGCGAAAATTCGCACCAAAATAAAGTGTTTTAACGCCTGCCAGAGTCTATTTTCCATAAAAACAAAGAAGGTGCGAAGCAACTACAGTTCACGCAAACCTTGAATTCACGCAATATCAAACGTGGTGTGGTCAGCATCATATGCACAAGGCCCGTCATATGTCCTGCAACATTCTGACACCTCTAGGGTAGCATTGCAAGACATGTAGGGCCTTGAAAAAACTGACTTATGCTTTTTCATGAATGGAACTGATGAGTACAAAAGTGTGTGATTATCGCTGGTTATGACAGAAAAAACCCGGCGCCATAAATCATCAGAGTTTCAATTTGAATTCTTGAAACATTACAGATTCTGGTTTGTGTTTTTGGGCGTACCGAACTTCCAACCTTTGACATGCGACAGTAAAGTTTCATTATTTTCGTGACGAAAGAGGAGAAAAATGAATTGTCTAATACGATATCCTTGTGACTCGAAGAAATACGAAAAGAATAATTTAACCTATCACTCCTGAATCACGCCATGTGGCGTAATTAAACAGAACTGTATGGAATACTGATATGAGCCAGCTGAGTCAAGTTTCCGGACAAAAAGGGAAAAAAAAACCGGGATAATTCATAAACAATCGCTAAAGAGAGATGACACTAGGAATTTGACTTTTTGTGACTATTATTGGTTTTGCCGGAAATTTTGTTTTGGCTCTAAAATCAGACGAAATGGTCAAGAGTCTTTGTTCTGGGAAAGTTTGTATTTGGCGCAAAGACGTCATCTTTATGCGGAGTCCGCAGGGTCGGATCCAGAAAATTCAGATAGCGGTGGCCGGGAAACTTGCCAGCTATATGGATTCCTATTATTTTGCTACCGTAATTGAACAAATAATACAAAAATCAACAGAAAAAAAGGACGGGTGGAGGCGCCCCCTCGGCCATCCTCTAAATCTGCCCGTGGTACCGATGGGGCTTTACAATCCTGTCATCTCGGTGGTTATTCGACAGCATCCACCATCTCATGCATGTATACTTTGAATCTCGAATCTCGACTCAATTTTTTTTCCGTTCCCTGCTCCCCAGTGTTCCCCGTTTAAATATCTTTCCCTGTGGCTTTTAAATCCCCAATCCCTGCCTTCAAATGAGGCAAGTCCCGGATACCAAACAGCCTACTGATCAAAGTTGTCACACTGAGCTCTTCCTCACTCAACTCAAAACTGCACTCGATCATAAAACGGAAAAAGTGAAATTTTCGAGGCCTTTCGGAGCGCTAAGAATTAGCTAACACAAGGCTCTTGTGGAATAAGTTAGCTGCTTTTCCGTAGAAATGCCTGCTGCGCGTAGAAACTAAGAATTACGTGAACAGTACAAAGACCGCAACTCTGGAGCGTTTTACATGAACCAACCCCAACTGGTCGTCCCCGCTAACTTTTTAAAAGAAAATCGAAAAGTCACACGGCTATCTGCACTGTCAGACTCTTGTTAACCACCGATGTAATCTGTCGTAGCCACTAAACTAAAAGGAGGGTAATTACTTGTTGTTATCTCTTGAAGAAAGATAAATTATGATATTATGACCTCCCTGAAAGTATTGATTGTGGAAAGCTACACAGGATAATATAGATAAGACCACTGATTTCAGGAAAGAAAAGATATCTTGTTTCTGTCACTATTGATGTCTACCACTACTTTTTACACAGAATAGATTTTCATGTAGGTCCTATATATAAATATGACTGAGTCACTTAGAATTAATATTCCTTTTAATTTCTGTCTCCACTTATTCTAAGCGCTTTTTGGGAGTAGAGAATATAAATTTTGGCCTGAAAGTTAGACGTTAGTACAACCTCTTTGTTTTGAGCGCTTATAATAGCATTTTACGCAAGAAAAAGTAAATCATTATGATTGTTCCTTGCCTTTGTGACAAACGACTCTCGCACGATCTCTCACCCCCTTCAGAGGTTCTTTGTGTCGTAGACGGAAAAAAAAGCGCGCAGGGGACGACGGGAAGGGGAACTCCCCTTCCCGTCGTCCACAACGCGCTCACTAAAACCCAGGCGGAGTCTCTGCGGAGGAGAGAGTGCAACCGACTCGTCCTTAGGCCAGAATATTCGAATTTCCCCGCCTCCTCCCTATCAGAAAGGAGAAGAGGAATGCAACTCCCCTAAAACAATTTTTAATATCGTTGAATGAAGTGAAAGTGATAAAGTGATATAATAGCCATTTCTGAAATCGGTTGCAGCCAACACGGTTTCCAATCACAAAGGCTGGTACTCGATCCTTCAAACAAGTTACCGCTGTACAGACGTACCGGTGTCAAGGCACCAAGTCCTCAAATACAAAGCCAAGAGCCTAGTACCCAGGCACCATCCCAGGGTAACTCGGCCTCTAGCGGACAGTACTGTATTTACCAGAAACCCAAGCAAGTGACTTGTAATGTAGCGCACATGAAAAGAGTGACTCACCAGTTCAAGTACTATTGTGGAACACAATCTCAGCAAAAAGTTTGCACTGGTCACAGGTGTGTAATTAGTATTACTGAGTTAGACCATGAACAAACGCAAAACACTTGGGCGCAAATGATTCATTACTTGAATTCAAGTTCTACATGCTTACTTTTTTTGAAAAAGAAGTGAATGGTTATTTCTTTGCGTTCCCCATTGTTTCCTGCGCCTAAGACTTGGTTGCACGTTCCATGACGTGTGACACTGGTTTGCAACTTGGTTACATTTTACGGCCCTTGATTTTCCCGCCTCCAGCTACTCGGTCCGAAGTCACGTATCGCGTGTGGTATGGAAGCGTTGCGTGACTCGTGCCACATGACTGCCAAAACAACCTGTCCCGTTCAGATAGTGGGGTATGGCACAAAGTCAAAGAGCGGGTCGCTGCTCCCTGCTCACATCTCTTCGCGCCGTTCCCGAAATCTGAACGCCTGGAACAGGCTTCCCCGAAGAAGACAAGTAGAAGACATTTGGTTAGCAAATAATTGCATGTTATGGCCCGTGACACTGGTTGCATTATTTCACGCCCTTGACAACACAGTTTGCACAGTTTCTCAGGCTAAAATTAGCAAGTTTCCCGTACTTGTAATTTTTTGTCTTCCCGCAGCTTTTGATGCCTCTGTTGCATTATTTGCGTTTGTTTTTGTTGGCAATAGTAGTGGTTTTTAGTCCATCTTTGAAACTCCATGTACGACCAATTTCCCAAAGCACTACAAACCCCGGCTACAGCCGAAACCTCCCGTTAACGATCACCTCTTGTAAACGACCGTAACAACT